GGTCCGTGTGTCTGCGTGTCCGCCTGTCCGCCGGCGGCGGGTCCGTGCGGCCCCCTGCGCGGGTGGGCACGTGTGCGTGCGCGTGTGGGGTTGTGCGCGGGGTGCGAGTGCGAGAGGTGCGTCTGTGTCCGCACCGGGTGCGTGCGTGTGTGTCTGTGTGTGTCTGTGTGTGTGTCTGTATGTGTCTGTGTGTGTGTCTGTGTGTGTGCGTGTGTCTGTGTGTGTGTCTGTATGTGTCTGTGTGTGTGTCTGTGTGTGTGCGTGTGTCTGTGTTCGCACTGTCTGAGCTCCGAGCCCCTGTGCGGGTACAGGATGCGGGTGCGTGGGGTGCTGGAGGATGCACGCGTGGTCCGCACGGGCACCGCGCGTGTGTGTGTTGGGCATGGGGGGGTGTGCGGTGCGGCTGCTGCGGGCTCTGTGTGTGTGTGCGTGTGCCTGGTGTGTTTGCACCAGGTGGGTGTTTGCACGGTGTGTCTGTGTTTGCATGGCGTGTTTGCACTGCGTGCGTGTGCACTGTGTGTGTGTACTCTGTGTGTGTGTGTGTGTGTGCACACTGGGTGTTTGCGCGGTGTATGTGTGTCTTTGCGTGGTGTGTCTGTGTTTGCACGGCAGGTTTGCGCTCTGTGTGCGTGTGCCCGGTGTGTCTGTGCGTGGTGTATGGGTTTGCACTGTGTGTGTGCACCGCGTATCGTGTTTGCACTCTGTGTGTGTGTGCACGGCTCATGTGTGAGCGCTCCCTCCGTGTGTCATGGAGAACTGGAAGCCGAAAGGCTGAGGCTCAGCCCGAGGCAGATCCTGCAGGAGCCAAGAAACAGGGATAGCAGGATGGGGACAGCCCAGGGGAGCCGGCACCCAGTCACTACGGCAGGGGGTGCCTGGGGGCTGCCGTGGCCGAGCCGGAGTCCCCAGCTCTGCCCGGAGTCCCCAGCTCTGCCCGGAGTCCATTGTGCAGGAGGAGGAGGAGGAGGAAGGAGACATGGCGGGGAAGGGCTGGCAGGGAATTGCTCTGGGCTCTGTAAACCCACGGGGACCTGCTCACACACCCGTGGGACAAACGTGGGTACCGTGGTCTGGCACCAGCAGCCAGGTGAAGGCTCTTTCCCAGCCGTGCATCCCACTTCCCTCTGAATTCCAGCTCAGGAAAACACCTCAGCCGGCTGGGAAGCGACACTCTCCAACTAACAGGATTTTCCACCAAGGCATATTTTTATTTCCCATCTCCAGAGGGGCACCGTTCGCAATGAAAACAGCTCCAAAGGGTCTGGAATGAGTTAAAATCCACCTCGACCACCTCTGTGAGTGCCGTGGCTGCAAGTGTCCCGGGCCCTCGCTTCCGTGTTTCTTGGGGAAACGGAACTTGCTCCCCCTTTGTGTGCCCAGAGGACTGTGTGTGGTTTGGGAGGGGGTGGTTTTGGGCAGGGGCCTGCTGGGGGTGTGTAAATGGTTATTCAAGAATTGCATGCTTGGCAGCAAAGAGAAAATGTCTTAGAGATGGTCCAAATCCTGGGGCAGGTGCTGTGCTGGTTCAGTTATATTTCTGTGTGTTATAATTTAATTAAGGTAGTGGAGAAGCAAAGCAAAATAGGTCCCTTCCAACGCAAACTATTCCATGAAAATCTTATTTCTGAGCAGCACCACAAGCTCAATTTTTGCCTTACCTCGCTCTTTCTGTTTAGTATCTTAAGCCTTCAAAACACGCTGGGTTTCATTTGCCTTAGTTTGGTAGATCTGGAGGGATGGTCTTTGAATTAGTGATCATTCTTACTCACAGTTGAGTTGCTGAATGTAAAAATAATCCCTGTAAGGTCTCGGGGGGGTGGAGGACACTCTGGGTCTGGATGGGGGATGCAGAGGGGCTCTGCCCTGGCCGCTGTCTCTGCCCTGGTGCCCGGAGTGCAGTTCCTTTCACGATAAGCTGACTTGTGTGTTGCTGCTCCCTTTGCTTCAAAGGCTGCTTTAAGGAGGTCCAAAGTAGGTTTTTTTCCTTTTTTAATGGCTGGTCCAACCATATTTTTAAGGACTTGAAGCTTTTCCTGCAGTGTTGTGGTGGTTGTTGAGGGCTGTCCTGCTTGCAGTGTGTGTCTCGTGTCAGTGGTGCTGACACACTTGATGTTTATATTTTACATCGTGCCAGCCCCTGGCATCTTCAGCTGTGTTTCTGGGATGATTTGGAACATTGAGTGTGATTCAAAAGGCAGTGGGGTCCTTTGCATATCTCTGCTGCCATGGCCTTAATAAAGAAGGTGAGGATTTTCTAGGATTCCCATGGACAAACATAATCTGCTGTGGAAGGTAAATATCGGGATAAACATAGCACTCCTTACCGTGAAAACTCAATTAGAGCCTTATGAAACAGAGAGAAGGATGATTATTTTTCCCCTAACATAAACACATTCGTTATTTCCTCTATCAGTTTAGATTAGGAGAATGGAAATTACCTGTGTTTTCGTCTGGTCTCACAATTGCAATTTAAAACAAATAAGATTATCAGACGCAAAGCGTTCGCAGGGAAAGCAACGCTCCCGAGGAGGGAGGACCATTCTCGGCCCGTTTCCAAACACTGTATGTTCCCAAAGCCTAAAAAAAACGCTTCAGACAGTGATACTCCAAACCTACAGCTCCTGGCTGTGGCATCTCCCTGCCAACTACCCGCGCTCTGCATGAGCGACCACGGGATTTTTCGCTTGACAGCGTTTGATTTTCAAAAAGTGGTAGAACATGTCTCTCCCGACGCCCCATTTACTGCTTGTCGAGCAGATATTAGAATGGATGGGAGGTGGGGACCTGGCTTCTCCAGTGAGCAACCAACCACCCCTACAAATTCATTCATTAGCCATCAAAGTGTTGCTGTGCCGGGGTAGCTTGCAGGGACGTTGGGATGCTCCGTGTGCTTTGATATGTTGATGGCAGGATGATGATGATGTGAATGTGGTGTGCAATGTGCTGGAATAAAGTTGTGTGTACAGAAGGTTGCTGATTGAAAGTAGTGGCTCTGTGCTGTGTTTTCACCAGGGGTTATTTAGCATCTCAAAGGGATCTTGGATTTTTGGGGTCAGCAAGTGAACCTCCTGCTGTTCATCCTCGGGGCAGTTCAGTGGAGGTGTTGACTGTGTGTCCACAGCATTTGGCCAGGAGTTTCTCCTCAAACACCTTTCCTTGTGTTCTCCAGTGAGGAGTGTGTGCTGAGAGGCTCTTCATTTGTCTGTACCAGTTCCACTGCAGAGTGGGTTTTTTTCAGCCCCTTACTGCCATATTGCACCTATTTCTTGGAAGAAGCCTGAGAAGTCAGTGATCCTCAGAGATCTTGTGCCCATGGTGGGTGGGAAAGCTCTGGCTTTCCCCAGGTGCCTGAGTGAGGGATCCCTGCTCCCAGTGGGAGCTTCCCATCCTGCTGTGGATGGAGGCATGTGTGGGGCTGCAGTGGGGATCTGAAGCTGGGCTTGTGTTGATGTGCCTCACTGGGTCAGTGCCTAGACTTGCTGGAGCTGCTTTTACATCCCTGGGAATAAGCTGTGATGAATCGGAGGTGTTGCTTTAACAGGGGAGTCTGAGGGCCCTGCAGCAGCTCCATGGATGCAAATCATTTCCTACCATCAACCTGACTTTGTGCTTTTAAACTCCTGACTTCTCCCTGCCCATGACTTCTCCCTTTCCTGGAGCGTTAAGAAATGGCAGCTGCTCAGGTTGTTCAGGCTCCAAGCTGTGTTCTGTTGCTGTCCTGCATCTCTCTGGGGAAGCTCCAGAGAGCTTTGCATCGGGAGTGGAAGTTGCACCCTGGGCCTGGGGATCTTTTGCAATGGTTGTTCTGCTTTCTTGGTGCTTGGCTTTTGCTGTAATCCTGTGTAGATTAAGCAGAGGGCTGTACGTAAAGATTTCTCTTTATATGTCTCATCTACTGCTGTTTTGATCAGTATTGTGGTTCCTTAAGTTGCAAAGAGCTGTAGGATGCTGCATAGCAGGGATTTATCTCTGCCCATCGGATGGATTAGGTAGGAATGTTCATGGCTTGTACTTAATCCAGATTAATATTATTAGTTTCTTTACGTTCAGTCGGTTGTTTACGCTTGTTTTTCTATTTATGTGAATTTTTGCTTTTGTAATTCCCCTCACATTGTGTATTAAAAGCAAATGCTTTTAATTTGTCCACGTAGATGAACTAAATCTCTTTTTTTTTTTTTTTTTTTTTACAGCAGTTCCACAGAGAGGAAAATTGTGTGGGTTTGGGGGGTGTGTTCAGGCAATTGTACTCTTCCAGGGCACGCTCCTGCAGACCCTGCTGCATTTCTGATCCGGGCTTTTTTAAACAAATTCCCATGCCAGCCTGCTTTAGCTGCTGTGCTCAGAGCAAACATCGACAGCAGTGGGTTGTAATTTATAATTTATAAAGCCTCACAGCACTTGAACTCTGGTGCTTTTGGAGGGGACCGAGGATGTTGTACCTCCCTGATCTCAGTGGAGAGCCTGAAAGCTGTGGGAAGAAGAGCAGCTCCGGGAGCTGTTTCTCCTTGGGGTGATGGGAGAGCTCCGTCGTTGGGCGCTTC